TCCTGCATGAGCTGTACAGTTTGTACGTTGCCCTGTCGATATTGTTCGCACTTGCACAATGGTTAATTCTGTTTATAAAAACATGTAAATCGCACCATCATGTATTTTTTCGCAAGAAGAAAAACATAATCATCTTCCAAAAGTAGAAATGTTGCGCAGCGTTAAGAACTGAACGAAACCGATAAAAGAGGCGAAATTGAAACGGTACTGGTTCAAATCTACGCACCTACTGCCTAATGATCTCAGCCATCTTGCACCTGGCTAACACTTTATAATATCTTACATGTTTTTTCATAAAATATTTTTTCTGCATATCCTAATTTAAGCGTGGCTCCTACGATAGTCTCACGCACACCAGCCTCCGACCTTTCTGAGATATTCTTTGCTCTCCCTTATGCGTCAACCCGTTAACTGAACATCTGGGACTAACATTTGGTCAACTATTATCTGAAGTTCACTAATCCCGATATGCAAAATTAAATAGAATTTCTCACCAATGATTGATTTTACTAATAAAGAAATAAGCAATATATTATTTTAATCAGCACGACCGAAAATTTCACGCCTCGCTTGTCCAATAAATATCAAATTCATTCAATTGTTGGCATTCGCACAAATTTCATTAGTTAAATTTCTCCTAGGTCTTCCAGAAATTCTGCTCTCTCCATACTTTTATTCTGCATTTGCCCTCGTGGCCTGTTACGTATGCAGTCTTGACAACCTTCAATAATGCCGTGCACTGTGGAAGTCTCACCTTCTTCGAAGTCCTTATTACTCGCCTAATATAACATACGAGATCCTTCGGTGCGGGAGACGCAGCTGCTACATAAAAACTGATCTCTTTTCCGTAACCCCGCACGGCGGGTATCGCCAAGCGCATTTGGGTTGTGCAGACGCTTGTACCGTCGCCATACGGAAGAACACTAAAGCACATTAGTCCCGTGAATATCAAGTTAACATCAAAACCTTGAAAGTGAAGCAAGCAGTCATGTCACCGCCGACATTGTAGCTCCACGCAGGAACGGCTTTTCCTTCCTCAGTGGAAAACTGAGTTGAGGTGCAATCCATAATCCCCTATGTGCTAGCGCTTCACCTTCACCCTCAGGGAGACTTCTTCGATTATGAACTTTGGACCGATATTGTTTTAAAGCTGTCCACGCTAGTCCTTTTGAGAATTATTAGTGCATGATACCGAGTCATTATTCTTCGTCACACACGCAAAATAAATTTCCACGGTCATGCATTTTACATCGACGATCATTATTTCCATGTGTATCCTGACCCTTTGAT